TTTCATTTCCAAAAGGAGTCAGTTTTCATGCATCCAGTTGCTTCAAACTGTGCAATATTAATATCTGCAACAGGCATGGCTAGTGTTCCTGGTTTAACGTAAGGGTTAGGGTCCTTTATTTGTCTAAATATTTGTATGCCACTTGGAAAATGGGTCCTCAATTCAGTCTGTTCTGGTGCTGCTATCAGAGAACTGTCAATCATCCAGAGACCAAACTTTAAAAGAAGATATAGGGCCCTTTGCTGAGTGCTGCTCAGAGATTACCCACAGAAGCAATTGGATCATAGAAGTATAGAAAGCTGCCTTATATTGAGTCAGTCCCATGTTCCATTTAGTTTAGGATTGTCTACTGTGATGGCCTGGGACTTGGGCTCGGACTCGGAACCAGATGAGACTCAGACCGCACCGGATCCTTTGCCTCAGGCGGCATCTGAACCAAGTCTGGGTCCTGATTCTGAAGAGCCCCAGCCTGCAACAAGCACCAGCTGGGCCTGAGCCTGCCCTGGCTCCAGATGCGGGGATTACCTTGTTACCTTCAGCTGGGCCATCACTTACAGCTGCTCCACTACCGGTTGGGTCAGGAGAGGCTGAGGCGGCCCCTGGGTCCAGTAACCCACCGACACCTCTTCCTAGCTGCAGAGACTAAGGTCTGAGAGAAGGAGAGACCTGAGTACTCGCAGGAGGAGTGCTCGCCTTCGGGCGTGACAGGGAGGTGAGTCACCGATTGATCAGGACTGGCTGTTACCCCGTCAGAGATAAAAGGCTGTCGGACCCCGCCCCAGGTTGCGGGAGCTATTTGCTATTTGCCAGAACCTGCCTGAGATCCTGTGCCTGACCTTGCCTGGTTTTCTGCGTTGTGTCCTGCCTTGGCCCTGTCGGACTGACTCCTCATGGAACCCTTGGATTCGGGACTGGACCTAAACCGTATTACTCGGGTTACCCCCGGGCCCAGCACAGTCTACACTGATTGGCAGCTGCTCTCTAGGGTTTCAGACATGGAGTCTCTCCCAGCCCAACCTGGAGAGGCCAGGGATAGAACTGGGGACCTGTTAATTGGAAAAGTGTGATTTGCATTTAAGCCTGTGAGGAGAAAACTGTTACGATATAGAAGCAATGCAGCCGCGAGCTGCTAGCTTGAAAACATCACATGATGGAATGTTAGGACTGTTCCGTGGGAAACAGAGGGACAGTCAATTCACAGGGCAATGCACTGGAATTAGCTCAGAGTGTAATATGAGCTCTTCCTTTTGCTCTTGTACAGGAAGTACAGGAAGTGTTTGTCTCTCGACTGCTGGAGCTTGAAGAGAGCAGTCATGCTTTTGTAATGCTGCAAAGACAGAAATAAAGGAATGTAAATACGTTTCTGTCTATCTCTTTCCCCTGCCGGGGGGGAGGGGCAGGAAAGAGGGTGTGTGTTCTCACGCCGAGAAGAATCGCCTATCGCGACCTAGCCTGTATCCTGCTGGGGAATGCAGACAGGGAGGTCAACAGGAGACCAAGCCGGGTGCCTGGGAGAGTTGCCAGTTTCTCCTGATAAAGGCTTGATTTCCGACAAAAACAGCAACACTGCTGCAAGTTTTTGCAGGAAGCCCCACCAGCAATACATCAGAGGAAGTCACATCTCTCCTCTCAGAATGCAGAGATGAAGTGGAAGCACTGATGGGGTAGGTTGGGGTGGGGTGGGGCTTTGATGAGATACCAGAAAGAAGAAAGCAGAGAGAAGCAGGAGACAAATTGTCAAGACACTTTCCATCCTGCTAGGGGGAATTTCCAAAAAGTGGCACTTTGCCCTGGATCTTAGTTAAGTTGAGAGGTTCGGAGGGTGGCAACATGAGAACGGGCCTGCTCTGCAGTGGGTCCCTGTCTGTGGAATGTTCTCCCCAGGGAAGTTCGCCAGGTGCCTTCATTACACACCTTTAGGTGCCAGGCAAAAACGTTCCTTTTTAACCAGGCCTTTGGTTGATCTTATTGACATCCAACACCCTTTTAAAACATGGCTCTTTTTGGGGGGTTATTGTTATTGGGTTATTGTTCTTATTTTGATTTTATATATTGTGATCTTTTCTGTGAACCGCCCTGAGACCTCCAGGTATAGGGTGGTATATTCATTCAACCAACCAACCAACCAACCAACCAAGTCAATTGAAAAATCAAATATTTTTGGCATTTTTTGTAAAAAGAAAAAATACCTCAACAACTTTGGGGTTTGTCTAAAAAAAAGAAAACTCAACAATTTTGGGGTGTCCTGGTTTTTACTTTTTGAAAGATGGCAACCCGAAATTTGAGGGAGCAGAGATAAGAGGGTGGAGCCCTCTAAAGCAGTTTCCAAAAGTGTGCGTGTGCGTATGTGTGGAGACGGGGGCAAATTTCAAGCAAATAAGAAGGCAACAAGAAAGAGAGATATTGGAGTCAGGTTCTGGGACAAAAAGTCCTAGTGGTGAGTGCTGGAAAAATTCCCCTTGGGGGTTCATGTATGGAGATTCATACCAAATTCCCAGACTTTATTCAGTAAGGTATTACTGGACAGCGTTCAAAGAGTCTGTGAGAGCATTACCCTGAGGACGCATGCTATGTAGGCAAATATATGTCACCTTAGCTTCTCATCCTTTACCCATCTACCTGCTGCCACCTCAGTGCTTCACCATTTCTCATCCAACCACAGTCCATGTACCTTGTACATTGTATGGAGTTGTTGTTCACTTTAACAGTCAATCATTGATTTCCTTTTTCACTGGTTCTTAGCAGGTCACACTCATTCTCACTAATAATTAGCCAAACAGTAATTCTACTTCATGAGCCTGTAACAGGAAATTGGTGGAACATAAGGAAAATAGGGATAGGAAGCAGGATAAAGGGAAGGAGTACAGTGATGAAAAGGGAGTCTGAACTCTTATAGCAATGGTCCTACCCAGTATACTCTGAAGTGAAAGTATATTGGTGCTCTAGGGGCTGAGAATGGTAGATAACCATGGAGAAAATATAATAGAAACTTAATCCTGAAAAAGAGGATTGGAGCGTTATATAATTCTGTTGGAGCACTCCAGAGCAAATGGTCTGTTGATTGCAGTGTAAGGGTCTATTTGCTGGATTTGAGCCATGGCAGCTGAGCAGAGTCAGATATGGACAGCAGCACTGAACATTCTTGAAGTTTCTGAGGTCAAAGGTGTACAGACAGGTCTGCATTTGGCTAGCGGGACTTCCTGTAATGTTAGGTGAGACGTTCTCACTCAGTGTCTTGTGAATTTCATCTTATCTATTTATTTCGTAAAACTTAAACAACACTTGATTCTTAAAAACCTCAAAGTGGTTGAAGAATATGTAAGAAGCACCATTTTTTTGTATGACTAAAACATTGGAGTGTTCTTGTTTTCCTTGTTAAAGCAGTTGTCACTTGAGCCGTGGTCTTACCGTATGTGGTTCATAAGGAACAGAACTGACTCAAGACATTTTATTGCCTGAAGCATCTTCCACTCCACATACAGAATCCAACAGACTGGAAGATTAATCTTGTTGCAACACTGGCAATGTGACGATGTTCTCCACCATAACTGAAGGCAACAGGATAGCTTAGGAGGTCCAGAGCAGGTTAGAGGAGGGTACACCAGGGGAATGGTGGATGTCCACCGCCACCCTCTTGCATCTGCCATCTGAGGCAGCTGCTCCACCCTGCCCAATGACAGGGCCCTTTCTGTTTTAGACAGTCAACTCCTAGGGAACGGGTGCACAGAATTCGCAACAGGCTTTCCCAGCTTGGCACCCCAACTCTGGAACAACACACCCCTTGGAAATTTGTTTGCTGCCAACCTTGCTTAGCTTTAGATGAGAAAGGGGGGGAAAGTGCGATTTTCATCATGGCTTTGATACAAAATATGCCAGGACTACAGAATGTAGATAATTGATGGTTTTGAAGTAATTTTCTCTGTGGGAGCCCCTAAGCTGTCGCATTGCTTCCCCACAGAGGTGCACCTGGTACCTTCATTATGTAGGTTTCTGAAAATGCATGTCTTTGACACCTGAGATATATGTTTCAGGGCCCATGTTATTCTCCTGACGGTAATTTGTTTCAACTGATTTGAATATTGTATTTTTAAATGGTGTAACTTGCCCTGGGACCCGAAGGTGTAGTACAAATTAGAGAAATACTACTACTACTACTACTGGGATGCGGGTGGTGCTGTGGGTTAAACCACAGAGCCTAGGACTTGCTGATCAGAAGGTCGGCGGTTCGAATCCCCACAATTGGGTGACCTCCCGTTGCTCAGTCCCTGCTCCTGCCAACCTAGCAGTTCAAAAGCATGCAGTGCAAGTAGATAAATAGGTACCGCTCCAGCGGGAAAGTAAACGGCGTTTCCGTGCGCTGCTCTGGTTCACCAGAAGCGGCTTAGTCCTGCTGGCCACATGACCCAGAAGCTGTACGCAGGCTCCCTCAGCCAGTAAAGCGAGATGAGCTCCGCAACCCCAGAGTCAGCCACGACTGGACCTAATGGTCAGGGGTCCCTTTCCCTTTACCCTTTACTTTACTACTATTACTACTACTACTGGACTGTTGTATTTGTTTTTCTAAGTTGCCTTGATGCCTAGAGATATAGCACGGGGTGTTAATTTTAAAAAGAATAAGGGATCTGCCTGTGTTGCCTATGGAAGTGGAATGCTCCGTCTATACACTGATGGTATGATACACGGTATGAGATTTTGCTCAGTCTGCATCCAAGATCATTGCAGGAGTTGAACGACTACTAATCATGCAACAGAACTGCATCTCCTCCCGTGTATGTCCCTGCAACCCCAGAGTCTGCTCCAGAGGGTTGGTGAAACCCTCAGAGCAGATGAGTGTGTGTGTGTGTGTGTGTGTGTGTGCAGGTGGCATCTGGAGTGAGGAAGTTCTGCTGTGTGACTTGAAGTCATTAGGAACATAGGAAGCTGCATTATGCTGAGTCGGACTGATGGTCCCCCCAGCTCAGTATAGCCTACACTGACTGGCAGCTGTTCTCCAGGGTTTCAGGAAGGAGTCCCTCCAGGGACTGAACCTGGGAAGTTCTGCTTGTAAAGTAAACATTCTGCCACTGAGCTATGGCCCTTCCTACTGATCATGCAATGACTTTAATTACTTCATCCCATAATAAAAAGATAACAACAATAATTATCCTAGACTTTTCTGAGTTGAAGCGTAAAGTGAGCAGCTTCTTAGTAATGAATGGGACTTCTTCAGTCAAACAGTAGTCAAAGTCAAAATGGGTTTTTCCAGATTCCCTTGCTTATATCCTTTCTTTTGTGTACGCACCCCACACGCACCCACAACTGGGTACAAAATGACACATTTGTTAAATTTAAGTTTTGAGGGTTTCCCTCTCGCTAGGAAATGAATAAAGACATTGTGATTCATCTTGTTTTAGCAGAAACATAAGCAGAAGGATTTGATTGGGCCCTCTGAGAGATCAAACACAGAAAAGTACTATAAAAAGCAAATAATTGGGGGCCGGGGGAGCGTCGACGCTTTGCAGAGCGCTCCCCTCCCTGTGTCACTGTGAAGGAATTTCTCCTTTTCCCTTTTGCGGTGTGCGCCTGCTCTCAAAAGGTGAGGCTGTTTTAGGTCATCGGAGAACTCCCAGAAATGGAGCAGTTAGTGCAGGGATGCTAAAAGGAGAAAATAGGATTAGGTCTGCATCTCGAAAATGATGCAACAATTGCCAGAAGATTTACTAAGCAAACACATGGGAGCTTCAGCTGAGATAGCAATCAGACTTGGTGTGTGCAATGCTTTTTTTTCTAGAAAAAAAGGTGCCGGCACTCACAGTTGTATTCGTCCTGCTTTTCTCAGCACTAATTTAAATGCCAATGCTTCCTCCTTGCCTACCCTTTCCCTCAGTTGGCTTAAAAAGCAACGTTCAGTGATTGGATAGTTACAGAAAGTTGTTACTGTTGCTTTGTAGTTGAGCTCTATATAAGCAGGTTGGCTGAACCCCTCAGTTCAGTTCTGTTCTGTGAATAAACAAGAGCTGTCTGAAGAATCGCTGTGTCGTCTGATATGTTCACCCACAACTTAACAGAAAGAGACCATGAGGGTCATCTCCAACCCCCTGCAATGCAGGAATCTTTTTGCCCAACATGGGGCTCGGACCCATGACCCTGAGATTAAGAGTCTTTTTCTCTCCTGACTGAGCTATCCCAGAATCATTGGGGCATGGCCAGAGATGGGGGACTTAGGCAGAATCCTAAACCCATTCAGCTCAGTCACATGACTGGAAATCCAGCATAGGACACCAAAAAGGGTTGGCTTCCCTCTACCAGGCTTTGGCAGAGCAGCTGCTGCCATCCCCCACAATAAACATGGTTTGGATCTGGTGTAACTTCATTTACACTGGCTTGCTTTACGCCAGCTTCTTGTGCATAGGGTTGCTCTCTATATTCCTCCTTCCTTTTTATTATGATTGGCAGAGAAATTCAGTCTGGCTTGCATTTTACTGCGAATCTAGCTAATTTGCAGTGCCTGAGGCAATATGCCAAGCAAAACACAACTCTTCTTTGGAATGTCTCCTCCTCCAGATTTTGTAATGCAGTTTCCCAAGCAAATAACGTTTACAAAACTGCATGCCTTCGTGGAAGGAATGAATAAGAACGCATATGAAAATAACGTACAGAAATGCATCTTGTCAGGGCAAATTGTTTGCAGAAACCATCTAAGGCAAAAATGCATACAATTGTGTTTATGTTAGGAGAGATGTGCCTGTAATATTCTGGCAATTTTTGTGTGTGCGTGATGCCTTTTAAAATTCACAAAATGATGCGGAAATCTGGAGAATGAAAGAAAAGGGGGAGTCGAGAGAGGCCAGAATTGACAGTTCCTTCCATTCCTATTGACAATAGAATCAATATGCCTCCACAGAGAAAGAAATTGACAAACCACCAGTGCACACAGCAGGAAGGGGGAGAAAGAGAGAGAGAGAGAGTCAGTCCTGTGCCGAATTAAAAGGTGATTGTTTGAATGCATGCAGCTACGGTATATGAGTTCTACTGTTTGGGAGTTTAATCCATCTGTAGTTTTCCGGATCCAGAAGGTGGCGCTTAGAGCCAGTTTTATCTAGCCTCTCTCACAATACAAGGATGAACCTCAGAACCAAAGAGGTTTAAGATTCTTCCACAGGCGAGACACGTTGAACCCTAAAGAGCCACTTGAGCCCCCCACCTCACCCCAAAAGGCAAGGGAGAGCAGAATACGGAAACGTGGTATGCATGCTGATGACCACATATAATTTGATTTTAGATAAGGCAGCTTGCTATGTTCCGATATGTGTTATATTCAAGCACAGTAAATTAATTGTTCGTTGTCTCATTAAGCCTCCAAACTGCTCTCTTCTCTTGCGTTAGGAGAAGCCCTGCTGCAGGCCTGTATTAAGCGATCCTGCCAGGGCGGTGTATAAGACCTGTCAAACGCGGCCGCTACAACGCCAGTAGAGCCAGAATGAATAATCAAGGTGACACAACAGGCTTAACATACAGGGTGATTCCCAGTATCGAAGGCAAGTTCTGGGTTAATTATTTCTGAGCCCTGCCTCAATGTAATCCCTGACATGATGAATTAAGCAGCAGCAACAACAGTTATGATTCCCAGGCAGCCCTTTTGCGTTGAGAATCTGAAAATACCTGAATCATTGTCTGAAGCCTAAAGAACTGGCAAATATCTCTGCTGAATGTTGATCAGAACATGCTAAGTGTGACCAAGAAAAAGGTAATGCAACGAAGAACTTTTTGAAAGACTATATGCCAAGATCTGTTTTCCGGCTTTTTGTTCAGAACATCTCTGTTAGGATTTGCCATATGAAGTAGCTCAGTGATGGAGGGATGGCTTCTAAAGACTGTCTTCCATCAAGAGTTTGGAGTCCCTGCTCCCTCTGGTTTTTTTGCTTTTGTTTTTTCTCTCTTTGCCTCTTTTATTCCAGCTCCCTTTGATGTAAAAGAAACTATTGCACTGAATAGGGACCAGGGGTGCCAACTTAAATAAAATATTTTTTTGGGGGGGGGCAGGTAAGTCCCACCCCACATAATCGCTCACAAGATGCGGCGCACACGTACCATTTAAATGGCAATGGCCGTCAACTTTGGGGCCCCCTCAAATATTTTATTGGGGGGCAAAGGGACCTCTGTCCCTGGGAGTTGGCTCCTATGATAGGGACAGAAGAAAGAGGTGCAAGATCCGAAACACAGTGCATTCCTTTTCAAAGTTGGGGAGGTTATTTCATCCTATTGGAAAGAACTGCTTCCATTATATTGAAAGAGATATTTTACCGTGGAAGTAGAGAGTAGTTGGCATCTTGGGAGACAATGGAAGGCTATTCCTTTGAGGGTAAAGTCAAACTGTTGGAGAGTTACAGTGCCTGCTGTGGCTGTAGAGACCAGTACAGTGGTGCCTCGCAAGACGAAATTAATCCGTTCCGCGAGAGTCTTCGTCTAGCGGTTTTTTCGTCTTGCGAAGCAACCCTATTAGCGGCTTAACGGATTAGCGCTATTAGCGGTTTAGCGGCTATTAAAGGCTTAAAGGCTTAGGGGATTAGCTGCTAAAAGGCTATTAAAGGCTATTAAAGGCTTAGCAGATTAGATAAAGGGGGGGAAAAGCGAAAAAAAAATCTCTAGACTCGCAAGACATTTTCGTCTTGCGAAGCAAGCCCATAGGGAAATTCGTCCTGCGAAGCGCATTGAAAACGGAAAACCCTTTCGTCTAGCGGGTTTTCCGTCTTGCGAGGCATTCGTCTTGTGGGGCACCACTGTACAGGAAAGACATGTTTTGTTGCAGGTGGGGCAGACGCCTAGTTTTGCTGCTCCATGGTGTTCCTTCTCTTGGAGGATTGTAGAGAGAAGAAACCAGATGCCTACATCTGACCCACCTACAATAAGCACATCTTTCCTGTATCAGTCTCTACAGCCGCAGCAGGCATTGTAACTCTTCAACAGTTTGACTTTACCCTTGAAGGCACACTCTTCCGTTGTCTCCCGAGACAGAGGATGCCAACAACTCTCTGGAAAAGAGAGTATTTCTTAGATGTCTGGGGAAAATTTGCAAGCAAGACTTGAGCACAAGGGTATTCAAACCCTCCTGTAGCTTCCAGGACTGGTAGCTGGTAGCGGGACGCAGGTGGCGCTGTGGGTTAAACCACAGAACCCAGGACTTGCTGATCAGAAGGTTGGCAGTTCGAATCCCTGCCACGGAGTGAGCTCCCGTTGCTCGGTCCCAGCTCCTGCCAACCTAGCAGTTCGAAAGCACATCAAAGTGCAAGTAGATAAATAGGTACCGCTCTGGCGGGAAGGTAAACGGAGTTTCCGTGCGCTGCTCTCATTTGCCAGAAGCAGCTTAGTCATGCTGGCCACATGACCCGGAAGCTGTACGCCGGTTCCCTTGGCCAATAAAGTGAGATGAATGCCGCAACCCCAGAGTCGGTCACGACTGAACCTAATGGTCAGGGGTCCCTTTACCTTTACCTAAGCTGGTAGCAATCACTGACTCCTCAATGTGCAGTGCCATTCCCTCACTGCTGAAATCATTACAGCCAACCACAACGCTTTGACACCTTTCTTTAAATAAATTAAGCGAACTGATCTTTGACGATGCTATTCCTGTTTTTGAACCTTTTCCAATTAACAATCCTGTCATACAATTAGAATTTGCCTTACAGTGGTACCTCAGGTTACAGATGCTTCGGGTTACAGACTCCACTAACCCAGAAATAGTACCTCGGGTTAAGAACTTTGCTTCAGGATGAGAACAGAAATCGTGCTCCTGTGGTGTGGCGGCAGTGGGAGGCTCCATTAGCTAAAGTGGTACCTCAGGTTAAGAACAGTTTCAGGTTAAGAACGGACCTCCGGAACGAATTAAGTTCTTAACCTGAGGTACCACTGTATTAGAGGTTTTTTTGTGTGTGCCAAGTGTTGGTGTAATAAGGGGGGAATTCCAGAGCTGTTTTCATGCTATTATATCCATTATTTAGGGAGGATAAAAGGAAATTCTTTGGAGCGAGCCTATGGAGAGAAAATGAATTTAAATGAGAAGCTTGCGTGAACGATGGAGGTGGTCAATAGATTTTGAACCAAG